TGAAAAATAAAATATCCAGAAGGACTAAAACTATGTCTTGAGTTGGCAACATTATGTCTTCTGCCATTTGGCAGGGTGGTCGATAAAGACTAAAGAGAAGTTGAGTTATAAACAATGAAGTTTACACTTTTGCCCACCTGAGTTTATGGTGATAAAATTTGTTCCTCTTGCATTAATAATAACAAATATTCTTTAGCTACTTCATTTTCTCTTGAGCGTATCATTTGTGCGTGGTTCGTGTTCATGGAACTGCGGAGTTTACTTCTGTTGTATGACCTGCCTGATGCTGGCTGAGATTTACCAGTGGAAGCCCACCCATCAGGAGGAGTAGACATGCTCCATTTCTCTATCGAGAAAGGGAAAGCCTAGGAGAGAGCCGTTGTGCTGGGGGGTCTTGGGGAGGTGGCTGTCTGTGTTCGTCACAGCCATCTCATAACCTTCCGGTTCCGTTGCCTCTGAGCATTTGCCTTCCAGCAATCCACCACCACATGTGCATTCCAATGTGCACAGCATTTCGTGAACATGGGCTATAATCTCCTGCCATGTCTCTGGGTTGGTTAAAATCCCAGTGGCACTGGCCCTTCATCATCACTTCTCATGACAAGTTGTTTGTAAAGTACATATTTTTGGTTACACAATTGTACGAGAACATTTCTCTTGCACAGGTCAAGGAGCACCTGTGACGTTTGAAGAGCCGGAGGGGAGCTCTAAACTCTACCTTGCTTTTTTGTTGGTGGCACATTCCACACCAAGCAGTTTCTCCTCAACTTCCTCCTAGTGCCTTCTCTGGTAAAAGTCCTTATAGTATTGCATGGATTTGTTCACAATAATTACATTTCTTTGATTCTGGTCGGAACTACTTAGGTCGCCCAATTTGGTTGCCCAAATTTCTAAATAGCTTCTGGTGATTTCCTTGGTCATTCTCTCACTCTGCTGCACCACAAAATATTTCCATTTGAGGTACACAAAGGTTAGTCTATATCAGCTAATTCTGGTAGCTAAAAATAAAAGCTCATTTCTATTGTCTGCCAATAGAAGGAAGGCATTTGTCCTCTAAGGAGAATTTGCAAAGTTACTTTCCTCAGTGATTATCATTGATTCCATCTGCACACAATGCTTGACGTTGTAGATTTAGTAGCGCCTCTACACTTCTCACAGCAGTACTTTATGAGTCACTTGCTTTGCAAAGGCCTCCAAGTACAGAGGTCACAATGACTGTGTCTCTTACAGCAGAAAACGCACCTAATAAATTTCACCTGGCTTCTCCACGTTGTCACGCAGAGGAGAGCATGTGTTATAAATCAAAATAATCATATAATTGGCTTTCCCACTAACATTAAAACCAATTATCTAGTCATGGAATTTTATCAAATCTAAAACAGTCAATGGTATTTATTAGGTACTCCCATGTATTAGGTATTTGTCTAGGTGCTTTACTGTATTAATGTAATCTGCACAGCTCTAGGAGGTAGGAGAGATTATTAGCCCTATTTTGCTAATGGTGACCCTGAAGCTAAGAGAGGTTAAGTCAGTTATCTTAGTTCTTGGAGTAAGTGACAGAGGTAAGATTTGAACCTGGGAAGTCTGGCTCCAGGCCACTGCTTTGAAATCTATAAACACTGTAAACTGTACTGACAGCTTCTCAAGAGCTGTGGATCTGTCTTTATGCATTGAGTCAGATCTTCCCCTTATGCAAGCTTAGTTACTTTCTGAATACACATTTGTTTGTCATTGATTTCAAATGCATTATATGTAGCTCCTTGAAACTTTAATTGAGTTGCTTTAGAATTAAGTAGCAAATCTTTCAGAGACATTCAGACAACAGTGAACTTTATTTGGGCAAGTCTCTCAGCATTTGGTTTATGTTTTAGCAACAGAGTTGCAGTCCACCTCCACCTGATATAAATTCTTTTTCTGACATCAAAATTGGCTCTACAGATGGCAAGATAGTGGATGGGCCGGTCCACACATTTTATCCATCTTCTCTCTCACTCACCGTTAAGTCCAGTAGCTAAACAAAGGTGCACCAAATGTCCTGATGAATAGAAAAGGGGGAACTGGTCACACGGAACTCACCAATGACAAAAGCAAGTTCTCTACACTAGCAAGATATTCAATTTCAAAAAGGATATGGCATTTAATGTGTCTACAGAGATGATGTATTGCCCCAAACTGTGGCCTTTTTTCCAGCATTTTTCAATGCTAGAAATAGCATGTTACCAATGCAGTAAGGATTTATTAATAGGTATATATTTTTTCTGTTGCTTTCCCTCCTCCCCCAATGACGCAAGTTCAAAAAGGAGTTAGATTTAAGATTATGACTTATAAATCTATAATCTTATAGATTAAGATGAGAAATAAAGAGCAAATAACACCAAAATGAAGAGTAATAAATATGCAGGCTATGTTTGAATGATGACCCCTCATGCAAAATATACAAATTACAAGAAGAAAACAATTGAGAAAAACTTCTTGGATTTGAAGTGGCAGTATAGGAAAAAGGCAATTAAATAAAAAAGAGTGCTCTGGTGTCCTGAAAAACTACCACTCATCATCAGTCCTTTGCATCATCTTCTCTGGAGCTGGGTGTGAAGAGAGCTCAATGCCATCTATACTGGTTAATTTTATGTGTCAACTTGAGTGGGCCTTGGGAAACCCAGATATCTGGTTAAATATTATTTCTGGATGTATCTGTGAAGGTGTTTGTAGAAGAGACTAGCATCTGAATTGATGGGCTGAGTAAGGCAGATGGCCCTCTCCAGTGTGGGTGGGTCTCATCCAACCACTTGAGGGCCTGAATAGAGCAAAGTGGAGGAGGAAGGTTGGATTCTCTTTCTTTGCCTGATTGCTTGAGCTGAAACACTGGTCTTCTATCCTTGGCCTGGGACTTATAGCCTTGATGCTTCTGGTTCTCAGGCCTTTGGACTTAGACTAGAATTCACACCACTGGCTTTCCTACATCTCTAACTTGCAGATGGTAGATCATGAAATTTCTCAGCCTCTGTAATCATGTGAGCCAATTCCTTATATAAATAAATCTCATTTACATATATATCCTATTGGTTCCATTTCCATGGAGAACCCTAACTAATACACTATCAAATCAGATCCAAAGGAAAATTAATTGTGGCAATCCTTGGTGACTGAGTCAGCGCTCATCCTTCCAAAACCTGTCTAGAGGTCATGACTGGATCGATGAGAGGTCAAGGTGAACGATCCAAAAGCATGGTCTACTTTTATCCCCTGTAGCTGACATAAACAAAAGCTTTAGGGTCAAATTCCGTGGTTTTAACCTTAAATACTGAAGGCATATCTCTACTTCCTAGAGAGGACTTCATAGTGTCAAATAGCCACATGTGTATAAAAATAAATAGAAAGCAACATAGCTGCACATATTTTGCAATATTTTAAAAAATAATTTTTCCATCTGCCCGTCTTCATCTTCCCTGCACACACTCACGTGCACACGCACACACACACACACACACTTTTGAGTCAAACAAAAACATAACCAAAAATTCATTTAAGCAATTTCTACAAAATAAGTCAATAATTAAGATGTTCAATTTAGAACTATATATGTGTACACATGCACATGTGTGACTAGAGGTGGAGATAGTCATATGTAAACTAGTTTTCTACAAAATCAGTGAGAAATCTGGTATTTTAGAAAGTATGATATTAACAAGAATGAGGTTCCTCAAACATTTCTTGCTGCCTTGCTGAACCACAGCAGCGAGTAACTCCAGAGTGCACGGGGGCACATCACATCATGTCAGGATGTCATGGATCACAGTGAAGCACAGAGGCTGATTGGACCAACAGGCCTCAGCCAGAGCTAATCTCCGTGCCAGACCGGAGGCCTGAGAAGTTTCTGATGGGGATAAAGGGGAAGAGATTGAAAGCTAAAGTTAATGATTAAAGCAAAATGAACCCCATAGGTGAAATTATTTCAATAGCAACACGTCTCATAGCCAACGTTTTCATGATTAATAAAATGAATAGAGCAGGTCAGAAATTCCCAGGCCGCCTCAGGTCGCTGAGCAGAAGGGTCAGTCCGCGCGCAGCAGGATTGCCTGCTGCCTGGCGCTGGCCAGAGATGCCTGGGCAAGCGGATCTGGGTCGTTGCAAGGAAAACGGTTCCTTTCACCGCTTACAATTGGAAAAAGTAGAAATGTATGCATCTTTTGTTCATGTCCTACTCATTTTTTTAAATTTAAGAAATACCTCAAAGGGCATGTTTTCTTTTAAAAATTCAGATGAGTATTTTTCACAAGGAAGGATAAATAACAACATGCAAGTCCATGTACAAAAAGTCCCATCAGCACATCACCATAATAGGTCAGTTTAAAAGACTTTTATTTTAGTTCTATTCCTTTTTTCTGAAGATAAAAGTAATATATGACTGGAAAAACTTGAAAAATGTAGAAAATATATGCAGGAAAAGAAATAACCACTGCTACATCTGCTTTCAACAATAACCATTGTTCATATTTAGGTAAATTTTCTTTCTATTGCTTTTCTATACATACAGGTGTTTTTTTTTTCACAGTTAAAGCTATAATTTAGATCCAGGAGTATATCTTAACTTGTTTAACTTAAATGTATTCATTTTTATCATTAAAATTAATTATAAGCATTTTTAATAGCACCACTATATTTCACCATATTTATTGAGTATAATGCATTGGTCCATTCCCATATTGTTGAACATTTACTTTTTCTTTTTTGTTATTATTATTTAACTTTGTGATGGAGTTCTTGGAATAGGATCATTGCTCACATTTCTTACTACTTATTTAATGATTTATCCTACTGATTTTTATAAACTTATGCTCCTATTTGGGGAAAAATAGAAAGGGCCCTCAAATGAGTATATATAATATGTATGAAAGGGGGCACCCTCCATGGCAAATTCTTGACCTTATTTAACTGTATGATTCGCCAGTGAATGTATCAAATACATATTGTGTAATTTGCAAAAATCTTTCTTGTTCCAGCTTCATCCACCACACATATGAGGTGCAGAGCCGATCTGATGGTCCATGTGAAGCCTCATGGAGTTTTGGATACTGTGAGAGATTGATTGCTTTAGGCGTTGTAGAAATGCAACACTTTAAGGCTGAATAACTCGTTCCACAGACACGATCACAGCTAGATAAATGATACCTTGGGAAAGTTATAAATTTCTATCACTTGATTTTAACTGGAGAATGTAATACCACCGTGCTGACTCCCCCATCCTCATCAGAACACAAACGATGATAGACTTCCCATCTGATTTGACATGGCAGCTGAATCTACTGTATCCATTTCTGACTTCACGAGACTGTCAATCTCACCACTGAATAATATAAGACCAGCATTTGCCAAGTCTTTTGCTAACATGCCAGATGGAGGAAAACTGCCACCATATCTAATTTGTAAGTTTGCATATCTGATCAGAGGGAAAAAAAATAATTATTCTTGTGGCCAAGAATGGAAAGAACCATGTGATGATTCACAAATGATAAATTTATGAAGGAGGAACAAAGGAGAATTATATAGATTGACAATACAATCTGCTTATTGGTAGACAAGGTTAAGGCTTATTTATATAAATATATTAAAGCTACATTTTATAAAAACTTGTATGCTCTATAAAGTACTTCTCAACTTTGCAAAATTGCTGTAGTCCTAAAACCCTTTAATAGATGAGTTTTCCAAAGATATGCTTAAATAGTGGGTCAGGGAAAAGTAAAATACATTACAGATGAAGGAATTAGCCTGATCAGAATGTAAATATTTTAGAATGTAAATTTGCACTGATAAGACTATGCTGTTTCTATCTCTCTGTTTAGGCCTGGCATAGAGTTTTACGTATTGTCAACTGAAGAATCATGAGGTTCATAAATTTGGAAAGGGGAGCTTTATTTCTCATTAAGGGTTGCAGCCTGTGGGTTGGCTATCTTGCAGGTTGGGAAGTATAACCTTGGCCAGAAGCCAAGAGCAAACACTTCCAAAAGGGTTGAAGGGGACAGAAATTTGTGCTGAGCAGGGTGGCCAAATGTACATATTTAATAAGCTATAGGAGTCATGACTATTTATGAAAGAAGAAACATGCACATGTGCAATTGAGCTTTATACCTCTTCATAGATACCATGTGCAAAAAGTGGCCATGTGAGCATGATCTGAGGTGGAGGTTTCAGCCCTCTGATGTCAAAAGGTTAAGCAGAGGACACCAAGGTATTCAGTTTGAAGCCTCTGTAGACTGGGCAGAACCACCCCATTGCTGGTGGTCTCTTTCAGGAAGGAATGCTGGTCAGAAGGAATGCTGGTCAGTCATGTCTAAACAACCAAAAGGAGGGGCAGTCACGAGGATTGGTTACAGTTAGCAGTGGAGCAAGTCTTTCCATAGGGTTGGTCTCTGTTTAGCCCTCAGGGAAGAAAGCCTATGGTGGTTAGCAAGGGAGAGGGTATAAGGAGATGTACCTGACCTCCTGTCCCATCATGACCAGCAACTCCATTTTAAGGTTTCTCTGAGATTTCCTTGGTTAGGGGGGCTTCCCATCAGTTGGTTGGGAGGCTTAGGATTTTGCTTTTATTTCTCAGTATCTATGCATTCTTTTTATTGTGTGATGATAATGAGTGAGGTAAGAACAATAACATTTTGAATTTTTACAGTATCTTATAGCCAATGAAATGCTCATGTCCATTATTTTATTTTGATGTTTAATTGCCACCCTTCTCCATGAGGGACACATTCCAAGATCCCCATAAATGCCTGAAACTGCAGATTATACTGAATCCTACAGACATTATGTTTTTTCCTATATCCACATATCTATGATAAAGTTTAATTTACACATTAGGTACAGTAAGATTAATAGCAATAACTATTGATAAAATAGAACAGGTACAATATGCCAACAGCACTACTTTAGTGCTTTGGGGCCATTATTAAGTAAAATAAGGGTTACCTGAGCACAAGTACTGTGATACTGCGACAGTTGACCTGGTAACCAAGTTGGCTATTAAGTGACTAGCAGGAAGCACATACAGCACAGAGACGCTGGAAAAAGGGAGGAATAACGTCTGGGCAGGCTGGAGTGGATGGCATAAGATTTCATCAGCTACTCAGGTTGGCATGCAATTTAAAACTTATGAATTATTTATTTCTGGAATTTTTCATTTAATATTTTTGGACCAAGGTTGACCACAGGTACTAAAACTATGGAACACAAAACCACACATAAGGGGGGATTACTGAACACACACACACACACACAAATGCACACATATAGTAAAAAAACTCAAAGGTGAGTAGACATGATATTTATATACGAGGAAACTAAGATTCAGATGAGATTCGTACCAAGTATTTCACAGCCAGTAGGAGATGGGTCTGGGATCAACACTAATGTTTCCTTATTTCTTGTCTTTTTACCAAACTCTTGTCCATGAAGTAAAATTCTAAATTTAGCATTAAGGGACTCCATTTGGAGCTCTCAGACACAGACTTTGAGGGTGGAGCTTTTCTGCCCTTGATTTAAAGTACTGGGTGTCAGAAATGGCTCATTCAACCATGGATGGCTTAAATTAGCATTTCAATGGTTAATCATCAGCAAGAATAAACAATTCTAAAATAGTTCCAAGAGGAACTTTGTGGTTTGGGTTAATTGACCATTATGCTCTTTTAGCATTTCTTTCCCTTTAACCTTTATTTCCCACTTGGTTTGCTTTTCAGTGATGGGCAAAGCCAGTGAAAGTGTCACTCAATATCAGGGCAGCCTGTTGGAGCAGAAAAGCAACATGGACTTTGGAGATGTAGGCACTGCTTTAGGGTTTTCAGTGATTTGGGGGTATATCAACCAAAAGGGAAGTTAGTGAAGATTAATGGTTATTGTAAGTGAAAGTGTATTGAAATTAGAGTGGTAAGTGGCATTATGACGAGGATGCTATTTTTAAATGATATTCTTTCTGTGTGGCTACATTTATGTCTGCATCTGTATGTTTGTGGCTGCATGCAATTTCCATGTGTATATGTGTATGATGTTTATGTTTGTGTCTCTGTGTTTAATGTGTATGCATGTACACGTGTGCATAATGCATGTGTGAATGTGTGAATATTTCATATTATATAATAAAATGTTTGGGTAACGGGTTAGAGCCCAAAATGTCCTCGTAAGATATTTTTTTTCATGTGAAATATCTCTATAATATTTCACTCTGTGAGTAGAACTAACATTTGCACATGAAATAAAAATAATTTTTAATAACTTCCTGAGGCTTTTAGTTCCCTTTGAAGACTTTGCCTAAAAGGAGAGGGAGGATCTTAGGTAACATGCTTGCATTTGAGGATGTTCTCAGCCTGACCTAATCATTGATTTGCTAATAGCAGTTCTGCAGAGTTTGAGTCAAGGGTGCAGCTCTGTGTCCTGATGCATCAATCAGAGTTCCTATTGTTGGGTTTTTTTGTCTTTCTCACATCTTCACTTCTTCTTAATAGGCTACCAGGGAGATTGGAGAGTATGTCCTAGAGTTCCTCAACTTCTCTGATTTTCACGACCTGCACAGTGGAAAGACCGCAGACTTCCCTCCAACATGGCGCCTCCTGTGTGCTATTCTCGGGACACTCCCTGAATACCTCTTTTCTACCCCTTGCCACAATAGGTGTCATTCTTTGTTGTCATGTTTTACTACTAGATTCTGTGTACTATAAGGACAGCTGCTGTCACATTTGTGCCTGGTAGGTGGTAGAGGGCCCCTACTGAATACTGGCCTGAAGGCATGAATGAATCAATTGCAAGTAACTGGGGAAAACTCCCCAGATCTAATGCAAATGCTGAGTAGAAAGAATTAGTCTTGGAGGTGGAATCCTTCTTTGCTGACTAGGCAAACAAAGCCAATTTTTTATGTAACTACATTATAAATAACATTAGTGGCAGAATTTAGTGGAGAAATGAGACAGCCTATGTAAAAAATAACCCAAAAAACCAAAAACTTCTTTTCTCTGTGTGAGATTTCAGATTATTCTGCTGAATATAAAATTTTTTCATATACTTTTATCCAAAGGAAGGGGAAATACTTTATTATCCAGGCATAAATGCAGGATAAAGAACTTTGAAAGAGAAAAGCAATTGAAATTCTGTACAGAAAATGTTTTAAAAGGCTAATGAATGCACACTGTTGTATATTTGGGAGTAAAGTGACCATGAAAAGGAAAGGAAAGAGGCAGAAAAACTCCCTCTTATTTGTACCAATAAAATGTAAATGCATGTTATTTCCCTATGAACATCCTCATATTGGATCTGTAGAACACCGTTTTCCAGAATTTAAAATGCAACAACCCATAGAGAGAAACTGTTCCTCTGGCAACCAAACCTTGAAAAAAAATTAGATTAAAAGCAAATACAGAAAAATTATTTCTCAACCCACATTCTGGAAATCAAACCAATTTTATTTTAAACTATTAGCAAGAAATACCCTGCCTATTTACCACCTGCATTTTCCCAATAATTTATAATTACAACCCAGCAGTAAGTATTGATTTCCAATTGATGGATATCATCTGTGCCCTAATAAACTGACAGACCTTCAGAAATCTATCTAGGGAGACCTTTAGAATACATGACATGAGTTAAACATATTTTATTTAACAACAGAGGAAATTTGCATTTCATCTCTCAGGCTTTTACGAAGCTGCTGTAAATGATTTAGCTTAGCTTTTAGATTTCAGAGTCATTTCATTTCAATTTGGGCACACTCTTGTATAATTCTTAGCCTTTGTTCAACCAAATGTAGAGTACTGACATTTAGCATGTGGAATAACATGTCAAAAATATGGGATGCTTAAATTCACGGTTTGTGGATTTAGTAAAGATGTGAAATAAAGCTTTTGATGCGTGTAAAAATCACAGTAAAATGTAAGTGAAACCTAATTGTAAAATGTAAATGAGGTCTAATTGTTTACCATGCTCTTGTAACTGGAGCCCTGCTGGGGCATATGCTGCGGCATCCCTTAGGATGGGGCGTGCCCCAGCCAGTGGAGTCCAGGGAGGCTCAGCTCCCACAAATGCAATCTTTGTTTAAGAGCAGATGGGTGGGGCATTTCTTCCAGTGCTTTCTGTGGTTGGCAGCCCACTCAAGGCATGGCCACTGAGAACAGAGTATCCACACAGAAAAAGATAGGTTTTAAGAGGGAAAGCAAAGAATTAACATCATTAAAAAATTGCTCTGAACAAACTGAGGTGCCTAGGGTGGCACACTGTTTTATTAGCACCTTTTCTAATCTGAGAAAGAATAGGGTGGAGAGGGTCTCGTCATTAAATACCTTGCATTACTAAGGGGTCAATTTACCATGTTAACTTCCATTTAGATTTCTGTAGCAGGACCAAGAATGGTTTTTAAATTTTATTTTGTTTTTAAGGAAGAGAACAACACACACACAGGTTTGATATACAGTGGGGGCCCTTGAGCATTTCTAGGTGGATTTTGTTTGTTTTCTGGAAAAAAAAGGGAACCTATTAGCAGGTTCATTTGTATAATAATCATTCATTAAAATAAAC